TTTCCTGAATATTTTTTTGAAGAAATGTTAATAATGCTTAACTTTGATAATTTTTTCTTCCAGATAAAATTATTTTTTAACTTTTAAAAAAAAGAACCTGTACACCACTGTTCTAAGAATAAAATCCTTTCATTTTGAAGAATAAAAATAAAAAAAGAAAGAAAGCGATGTGAACAGCATTTCATAAACATTTTAATTCTGTATAATGAATTATTTATTCAGAGAAGCTTATCAAGCAGAAAAACAATCTTATAGAATTAAATTATAATTAAGTAAGTTATTGTAAAATGGTCTTAGCAACAGTATAATCATCATCTCCTAGAACAGGGATGGGCAAACTTTTTTGGTCGTGGGCCAAAAATCTAGAAAAAAAAGTTTGGTGGGCCGAGTAAAAACTTCTGAAATAAAATAAAGTCAATTCATCATTGAGTGCATGCCACTCTGCATCAACTTTGCGATTTTTAGTCGCCATTTTGGGATAAAAAATGTTTACAAATAACTCAAAAAGGCAGTAACCATTTTATACATTTAATAATTTCACCATTATTTACAATGACGTTGCATGTTTGCAACCTTTCCATACGCAGTAAATTATGTTACAGCTCGAGCCGGCAGAAAAATCCGTTCGTTGGAACTTAAAACGCGTAGTCAGCCTCATGTGAAGTACAATTCACCTACTATATTAGATTCCATATGTCTGCTCCTCGAGAAAGACAAATACTAGTTGGAGCTAATCTACAGCTATTCTATAAAGAACTTTTGCTGTCAACATTTTAATAGTTAAAGCTGTTTGTGCTAACTATTTTAATTAATTTATGTTTTGTAGAACAAAAATAGAGAAAGTGAAAAGGTCATCAGTACTTTGTTAAAAAAGAAATCAACAAAAATAGTTTTAAACAAAGTAGATATATTCGCCACTGATCGGCTAGTTAAAACTCTGTCCGCGGGCCGGATAAAATCTTCCGCCGGGCCGCAGTTGGCCCGCGGGCCGTAGTTTCCCCACCCCTGTCCTAGAACTTAGGTGGTATAACGCAGTAGTTGCAGACAATTTGCGAGTATTTTTTTTCATCGCGTTTGATGGCTTTACCCCAAATTTGTCTTTTTTCTCCTTTTGGTACACTAAAAAATAATTTATTTGGCGTGTTTAACGTAGAACTATTGCCTATGGTACAATGCAACACTTGTAGTTTTTGCTTGGAGCCATTTTTCAGAATTTATACTCGGCGCGGCATATGCTTTCCCCGTTTCGAAACATGATGGGAGTCGTGGTTGTACTATACTTTGACGTCAACAGAGCGGATGGGAAACCTAGCCGTGGTTTAGGGAGTGGGGCTAATCGAGCGATTTTAACTATTAATAACAAAATAACTAGTTATCGGACCGGTCTGAAATTGGTGTCTATCTTTATAAAATGGCATGATGTTTCATTTTAAAACATAAAAAAAAGCATGCAGGTTATTCATTGTAGATAGTTAGTTAATTTTAAACTAGATGTCAGCACTAATCAATTTTCAGGGATAAAAAAATAGGCACTTTTATGACCGTTTTCTTGAAAATTAATCAATCGTTAAAGGGTTAAACTGATTAGTTTATTAAAAAACTGTACATACAGAAAGTCATGACAACAATTTTGCCAACTAAGCAGAAAAAAATAAATACAATAATTACAGTAAAAGTAAAAAATTCTTAGACATTATTAAAATGTTTGATTTTTAAAACCAAAGTGATTTTTGAATACATATTAGATAAGCTTCGCAATATATTACATATTAAGCAATTTTCACAACAAGATAGAGTTTTAATTAACTAGATAATTTAATTATCAGATGAAATATAAATAGTAATTTTCGATTAAAGAGTGATTTAACTGCAGTTAATAAGAAGAAAAGAAGGTTGGGACTATAGCATTTTCGTTGTATCTGAAAAAGGTACTACACATAAGTTATTTTTAAAATTCTAATTTCAACTCAATATACATTTACTGAAAACATGCTATAAATTAATTTGAATACTTTGGAATTTTATTTGAGCACTTAAAATGTTCTGAAGTCATGGGATATGAACTGTTCAAGTATTCTTGGTGCACAAGGGGGGTTGGAAAGTAATGTCGTTCCGGCCCATTAAATATTCTCTAGTCTTAAAAACCAATTCCTTTTTTCCGATCCATTTCGATTAAATTTAGATCCGGCAGTAAAGGGTTGTTGCTAACGATGGTGAATACATTATTGATTAAAAATAAAATCTCGATAACAAATATCAAATGCACCGAAACGACATAACTTTCCGTTTCCCCTTATATTTTGAAAATATCCACAAATATTACAAGTATTAATGAACAAATAAGAAAGATGAACGAATACATAAATGGGAGTAATTAATAGAACTCACTTCGATATCTTTTATGCTGGCCATTCTCGTTCACCTAATAATTTAAGGAGTAACAAAAAAATGACGAATTCGATAGGAATTAAATTTTTATTAACATTGAAAAAGTTGAGAAGAAAAAGAAACAACTGTAAAAAAATTATATTATCACTTGTTTCAAATTCAACCAATTATGAGAAAGGGCGATTCTCTTCCTAGATATGAGATATCAAAAGGAATGATTTACAATATCTAATCAATCGTCATTATTTTTGATAAAAAAATAATCTATTAATCTTTACATTCATCATTAAATATTCAAATAAATGATTATTTTTAAAAGTTTTAGAAAAATATATATATGGTTTTGTTGCAATATATATATATATATTAGTTAAGTTTTTTTATTATTCCCCCCCCCCTTTTTCATACGCCTATAACTTTCCTTTGTTTTACCTTCATTTTGAACTTATATATATATATATTTCTGGAATTGTTTAATAAATTGAAGATCTTAGTGAAAGCATGCTCCATGTGACATTTTTGAAGAAAAAAAATTGAATTTTTCTGGGAAAGACATTATTTAGCATTGATTAACTAAACAATATTACTTTTTGACAAATTTCGTAAATCTTATTGAATGCTAAGAAATATAAATTCTATCAATCGGAAAGTTTCAGAAAAGAATTAAAGGCAGGACGTGTATTCTTTATTTTTCAAACATTTCTGAAATGTTAATTCTAAGTGAAATAAATTTAAATTTATTTATAGATTTACACCCATTATTCAAATACACTATTACAATGGGATACCTGCAAGTGAAGTAATGTGGGTATTTTGATTCTGATTCGTTGGTGAAACGACATTTGCTTACGTTAGCAACTGTACTTTCCTTCCTATTTCGAGTAAGCCAAGCCCGAACGTATCAATTCTCTTAGTGACACATTCTATATAATTTCACAAAGATTTCAATTCTTTTACTATACATTTCTTACTTAACACAAAGACAGGCATGAAGCCATGTGGAACATAAACAAACTAATTATGCGTCGAAGTTGCCAGGTACACAAAACAAAAATATATCATGGTTACAATAAAAGACATAAACAAATAATAAATCTTAGTTTGGTAAAAAATGCAGACGAGAAAGAATTATATTTAAACGAATTCGATGTGCGATACGACGTTGTATTTAATTGACTTCATGTTGATTAACAATCTTACTGAAATTTAGCTCAACTTAATCCCCTTATCTTTTTTTTAATAAACAATCAGCTGGCTTTGAGGTCATAGGTTACGTTTCTGTGTATCAGCGATCGTCTTCTTCTTGAGATGCAGATTACAAATTGTGTCTACGTGATATTGTGTCTCCGAGCTGTCTATACGCTTGCTTTTAACATGGCGCAAAACGTCAATGTGGAAAATGAAAAGCTTTTGCGGTCTAATTTTTTTATTTAAAAACTTACTCTCATGCTGCATTTCCTGGTATAAAAATGAAAATTGCAAAACCCAGAATACGGCAGTGATTTTGATAATTTTCATCTATTTTGAAAAATACAAATTAGCGATGTTTTAAAAAAGTTTAATAACTTATAAAATATTTTTTATCTGCTCTCTAGCCTAGATAACTCTACACGATAAAAATATAAATATATTTTAAAGCCACCGCATTAAATCAAGTGCAAGGCACTTAAAATATGCCTTTTTTATTGCACAGGGTTCGAACACGAAAGGCACCTGAAATAGCACACGTGAAGCAAGCTAAATTGTTTTTTATGCACTTATTTCTCTTGGTTATGAAATGATATGTATAAAAAAGTTGTCTATTTCGCTTCGGTTTCACCAAATGCTAAAAAATGAATAAAGTTTGACGAACTACACTTAAGGTAATGAAACAATACTTTTCGAAGCTCTTTCGCCAAGTGAAATACAAAAAGTAACTCTTTTAGTGTCTTGCACTCAAAGCAAAGCTGTAATGTTATACTGAATATACCATGATATACTATATATATCATACTATATATGTCATACTATATATACCGTAAGGAATGATGTGGGCTTTGGAAAGAATATATAGCTAAAAAAAAAAAAGCTTAAAACACACACATAGCTGAAAAGTTGAAACTTTTTAAAAATCACCAAATTAGATAGACGCATAGCTAATACCCAAATAAAAATTATTAACATCAATTAATAAATCTCAATTTTCGCAAATTTCAATTAACTCAGATAATGTAAAATTCGAATAACATCTTAAACATTAATAAATTAGATTGCAAACTTTTTTTAATTTTACGAAAGTGTGGTTTTTATTCTTTTTCACGTTCTGCGCCATTTTTAGAATTAGCAATGATGACGCTGACTATAAATTTGAGCCAATATGCATAAACAACTATTACGCGAATTCATATCAGTACTATAGATGAATTTACTACTGTACCGGTAACTGCTGGGTATTAATAAATGATGAACAGACAAGTGATAAAAAAATTAAAAAAAAAAACAAAAAAAAGGATTATGGCCGGGTAAAACAATATAGGTGTACATATTTAGCGTTGTGCTGCAATTTGCAACCCAGAAGGAAATCAATTTTTAAAAATCCAAGAAACGAATACATTCTACAAAAAAAGACATACCTCTTCTCCATAGAAGTTATCTCTCACCTAGGAAAAATAAAACCACTAGTCTGAATGAAGGAGTCCAGTTTTTGCACTGATATTTTTGTTTTATTGAAGATTTCTAAGACTCTTTATCACAACCTCTTAATATTATCATAAGAGGCACAGCATCAAGAATATGGGTACTATTGGGTAGCTGGAGCGGAAGACTGAACCATCAGAAAAGGCATCTTGCAAAAAAACGGATACGATCTGTGGGTTCCCTAACTCGGTGTCAGCAAATCCACATACCACGGTAGGTGTCGACCATCACAATCAGCATGCTCGTGCATCATGGTGAAGAGCAATAAATCAAAAAAAAAAAAAACTGCTGGAAAAGGTTCAAGCAGAACATCTTCAAAAAGGAACAGCTGCAGATATTTTTGGAATTTTCTTTAAAAATAATTCAGCGCTATAACAAAGCAAAAAAATGGCCGTGAAGGAGTCCATCAATGGCGGTGTTAGACGCCATGTAAAATCCGAAACCCTTTCCTCAATTGAGGAGGGAAGTGAAAAAAAAAGCTCCACGAAGGAGTCCATACGCTAAGAATCAACTGAATTCGAAATGCCCCGAGCGTCTCTTGCGCCTCGATATTTATCCTCTTGCTTAAAGTTAAAGTCAAATTACTTATTTTCCCAAAAGTTGAGATGTTATCCCAATTATTTTACCAGCGTTACGGTTAAGGAACACATCTCAGATTTTGTACGACACGCTGACATCAAAGATACCGGCAAACAGGTGTCTTTTTTCTAAGAAAAAGGGGTAGGGCTAAAGGAATGTGAACAGAGAGTCAAGGGGAGAAAGTCCCCATTGCACTACAGATTAAGGGGCGAGAAGAATTAGATCAGCAAATAAGGATTTGTATCATGAATTAACGAAATTATACCAAAATTAAATTAAACTTGTGACTTGATGTCACAAACACATATACATATATATGTGTGTATATATGTGTGTATATATAT